CCCAGGAGTTGGAGGTTGCTGTGAGCTGTGATGCCATGGCACTCTACCCAGGGCGACAGCTTGAGGCTCTGTCTCAAAAAAAAAAAAAGAATTTGGCGGTGGGTTGCACCTGTGGCTTAGTGGGGTAGGGCGCTGGCCCCATATATGGAGGGTGGCCGGTTTGAACCCAGCCCCAGCCAAACTGCAACAAAAAAATAGCCGGGCATTGTGGTGGGCGCCTGTAGTCCCAGCTACTCGGGAGGCTGAGGCAAGAGAATTGCCTAAGCCCAAGAGCTGGAATTATTGTGAGCTGTGATGCTACGGCACTCTACCAAGGGTGACATAGACTCTGTCTCCAAATAAATAAATAAATAAATAAATAAAAAGAATTTGGGGGCTTGGCACCTGTGGCTCAAGTGGCTAAGGCTCCAGCCACATACACCAGAGCTGGTGGGTTTGAATCTAGCCCAGGCCCACCAAACAACAATGATGACTGCAAAGAATTTTGGTTATGTTGTCCTTTTTTTCCTGTACATATGCTAACGTGCACTTTATAAAATTTATTTATTCATTTATTTATTTGCAACAGAGTCTCACTATATCACCCTGGGTAGAGTGCTATGGCATCACAGCTCACAGCAATCTCAAATTCTTGGGCATAAGTGATTCTCTTGCCTCAGCCTCCCAAGTATTTGGGACTACAGGTGCCTGCCCCAACACCCAGCTATATTTCTGTTGCAGTTGTAATTGTTTTAGCTGGCCCGGACTGGGTTTGAACCTGCTGGCTTGGGTGTATGTGGCTGGCATCATAACCACTGTGCTACGGGCCCTGAGCCAATATAAAATTTATTTAAAGCAAACTTATAATTTACATACCATCTTATTATAGTATGTCATGTAGTTAACAATATGTATTCCAAGGTTAGTACATACCTTTGTCATATTTGTTGAATTCTATGATATTCCTTTATATGGATATGGTTAAATTTTAATGATGGGAACATGCTCCTAAGTTTTTTGTCAGAAACTCTATATGGAAATGTATGCCTTTAGGGAGATCCGTGTGTAATTGAATACTTCTTTTAGCACATTTCAGTTGGACTGTGATGCAGCTCTTCAGCTATTCATTGAAACACTGCTCCACAACAGCAATGCCAGCCAAAGCCAGAGAGATGCAAGTCCAGAGTGTACAAAGCAACATCGTTCCAAACTCTTGGCCAAAGTCCTCGAAATGGTTCCTTTACTGACCACCACAAAAGATTTGGTCATCAGTCTTAGTGGAATACTACATCAGGTAGATGAATGGTGATATGAATATATCAGGGCATCTGAAACATCCCTCTCACTTTTAATTTACTAGATACATAGTCACAAATTGGATATATATGTTCTATATTTTTATGAACTTTTCATTTTGAATCAATTCTAGATTTCTATGTTTTAATACAATTTAATACGGCAATTTTCCTGTCTTGTATTTTAAAAACATAGACCTAGCACTTTTTCCCAAATTTTTGAAAACAGCACACATTCTTAGAAAAAAAAAAAAATTGAACTAGAAAGAAAGGAATAAATCAAAAAAGGGAATTTTTCTATAACCCCGTTCCCTGGAGATAAAAGTGTTAATAGTTTGGTATAGTGACTGTTGTACACTAACTGTACTATTCTCTTACCTTCTTACATGTCAGTACCTGTACATCTGTGTCTTTTTTTTTTTTTTTTTTTTTTAAGCGGAG